GAATTGTCGATAATAAAGGCCATTTCGTGTCACGCATCAGTGCTCGTTCAATCTTTCAGGTAAAGTACAGGGCAAAGCACTGCGCCAGATTACACCACCACCAAAAACATCAGCCTAGCTCTAGTGGTGGTTTGGCACTGACACCTTGCTGGCGCGCCCGCGGGCGTTGGCGGAGGTTGTGACCCATCCGAGCCCCCCCCCCCCCCCCCCCCGGTCATAGGTGAGCACGCATCATCGGAATGTCTACCTCAAGAGAATATTCAAGAGATGCGAAAATGCAGAAATTGCATAAGCAGGGCGTAGATGCCATCTAGACCTAAATCGACAGCCCTTATGAGATGGATGGTGCATCTGTATACTTTTGTAGCACATTGTGGTAACAGTCGACTCCCTCGCCCAACAGCGCCAGGAGACCCAGACTGGGCAACCCGGCGGATTATCATGCAACGCGTCGCACACGCATTCTCCTTCTTCCAACCAGAAAAAAAGGCTTAAATTTCGCTTTTTTATTTTTCCACTTTTTTTTTTCTTTTAATTCGCTCGGAGATGCAAAAGACCGACAGCCGATGGTCGGGTATCTGGTCCAAAGAAAGCACCCGAGTGGTCGTTCGGTCACGTCCCGAAGCCGATATGTAAAACAGCAGGCAAAGTTGCAAAAAAAAAAAAACTTAAATAAATATAAATATAAGTAAATAATAAATCAACAAGGGAGGGGGTGTGTGGTTTCATTCATTGTCAACTGCTGGCGTATTCCCACCTGCTGCCGTTGTGTCGATCGAGGCGAAGCTGACGCAGCGATTTGGTGCGCCACCAACAATGACAAAAAGTTGTGAGTGGGTGGTCAGCGACACCTACTAGAAATAAAAAAATAATAAGAAGTAATTTTACCTTTAGTTTTAAACCCTTTTTTTTAAAGTTTTTTTTTCATTTTAAATTTCGCTTTTGGTAGGCTCTCTCGGCCGGCGCGGACGGACGACGGGGCCGCCGAGCATCGCATTTCTGTTCTTCTTCCAACCCTGCGTCTTTGCTCCAACGTGCGATAACTCCACTATAGACGAGGGGGGGGGGGGG